GAGAAAAGGCACGTGTTCCTCTTGACACAGTCCCTGCACGACGACTGACTCCTCCTCATGCCCAACAAACACCAAAGATTGCACATCGTCCTTCGTCTATCGTCTTATCTCAAGATTCCAAATCATATGTCATATCCCGTCAAAATCTCGCTCCAGAAATTTCAACAAGATCATCAAACGTACAAATTAAGCAAACTAAAATAAGAAGACGGCACTTTCAACGTTACTCTCTATCTTCCTTTCCATTTCTCGTTCTCCCACAGCCCCCAAGGATTGCTAAACGAGATACTACTACAGAAATTCAACTTTCTGCTGTTGGTCAGACCCTGGACTAACGCCCAAGGAAAAGGGGGTTGGGAAACAGGGCACAACAGACAACCTAATGTTACACTCGGCTGTAAACCTAGACGCTCAAGGTTCAGTTTTTGTCATATCTTCAGTATCCCTTTCCTCAACCGACTTATCACAAATAATCAAGATGATCATGGTCATAATAGCCTGAGTACGAAAAAAGTAACAAGTGAGCTCGCTTGAAAAGTTCCGCATCCTGCACTTGCACTGCACATCCAGGGTTAAAGGGTAAAACAACAACAGGGTAAGGATAATAATGATAGTGATGGAACGAGGATACTCTTCCTACCCAGCCCCTTAGGATCCAAAGTCACCCTCAAACCAACGCACCAATGGGCAGTTGTGGCCCCCGTCTCTCTCCCCTATCGAATGCCAATCTATACAATTTACCCGCCGCCGACTCCCTCGAATTCCAAATATCACAGTAGCATTTCTTCCTTCGGCGAGGGTGTAATTCCACAGATTGCACAAGACTTCAGGGTGTTGTTGGTCGTTGTGTTCGCCCAGCGTCGCTTCACCGTAGCGCCCAAGTCCTCTCATCTTAAAGGGGGAGAGAGGGAGAAACAAAAAAAGAACAAGACCGTTTTTGTCTTTCAATTTCTCCGCGAACATTGCTGCCATCGTTGCCGTTGTTGCTGTTGTTGTTCATGTTGCTGTTAGGCCTTATGCCAACGACAACTCCCAAGATTCGGACGGGAAGAGCGGATGAAGCCGCCAACAGGAGGGGGAGGGGGCCCGAATCTCGCTCGCCCTTCCTGCAAAACCGCCAGTTCTTGAAACCCGCAGATGCCGTTGTGTCTAGTAGTTCCTAGCTGCCGCCTACTGGGCATGTCATCCCACAACAACGGGAGGCCCACGGAGCAAGAGCACTGTCTCGCAGGAGATCCTGATATGCTTGTGCACGTATACTCCCACTCCTAGGCAGGCAGTTTTCATGCTCATGCCTATACTAGATGTATGCCGGCTGTGTCGTGGCGTGTCGTCGCGCTTGGCCTCCCGAACTGGCCGTCCCGAGGCCGCAAAACCCGGCCGGCCCAAAAAGAGGCCACATCAGCTCCGACGTCTCTTTGCCAATACAGGCGAGCATATAAAGCAAAGAGAGGCGCAATAATTTCTCGTTCCCTTGTAAAGATCGAATCTGCCTTGTTTGAGGCGCAGATCTCCAGTAGAATCATGCTTCAACTGAATGACGAACGACTCGGCACCACAGTCTCGCCCGAACGAAGACCAGCCAGCACATCACTCTCAAGCATCCGACGCTAGGCGACGAGGAGATTTGCCAATTTGGCCCAATGCAATCGTCGAACGATGCCAGTCAAAACATCTAGTCGAATGAGGCGAGGCGACTGGGCGTCATGGAAATCACGCACACCCCCCATCTCCTCACGTCTAGAACGAGCCCTGTTAGATTTTCCACTCCTCCAAGTCATCGATTCCAAACTCATACGGAGTACATATCGCTCTGGAAACAGACTAGGAGAAGAAGCCTTGGCCGCTCCTTGGTATTAACCTCGAAGTCGGCCTTGATTTACCCAAGTGGGGAGAGTAAGAAGGGGGGGCGTGCTGGCTCTTGTCAAGTCTAAAATCGATCGAGGGAAAAACCAATCTATGTCGACCAACCAACAGCAGCTAAGGATCCCATCTCATTCCTTCCAGGGCAGGGTAAAAGGTATTTGAGAAAGGGAGAGGGAAAAAAGGAAAGAAATGAGGGGAAAAGAAGAAAGAAAGATGCAGTACAAGCGAAGACCAGGCCTGGGTCATGGATGGAGCCAACACGAACGGCGAGGTCTCTGTAATTCGCCTTCATATTATGGTCTTGCGGAGACTTTTGGGAGGCAATAAGTCGCCGGCGCACAAATCGAACTGCCGGCAGGCTTTGTTGCGCGCGATCCAGCCAGAGGTCCGGAGATCTACGAGGAACGACAGCGTTGGGCGCACTCGTCCGGATCGCGCCCGTGTGTCTGCAAGTCGATAGATACTATGCAGATGTTGGTGAGCCTGCGAGACAAAAGATTATGAAGATACTGACGCATGGGTTGGTAGACACTGTAGATTCTGCATACTTGTCTGTGGGACCTGGGGGATTCTCGCTGCGAGGCGCAAATGGAGAAGAGCAGGGAGGAATCTCATGCCCTGAGCAAAACAGACGCAACTGCGATATCGTCAGTACGCGGCAAGCAACTATGATGTTCTCCGCGGACACATGGCTAGCGGATTGTCTGGGATCACCATCGGTGTCATATGATGCAAATATGTATTTTACCCACATGTTAACGCAAGGGGGTATCAGGCACGTACCGATGATGAACCCAGGTGACCTTGTAGCAAGAGGTGTGCTTTTCCATATAACGATCGGTTGCGAGCATCCACAGCCCTATCTTGCCGAACACAAATAAGCCGTACAAGTCCCTGGTTCCCCGAGGCAAGGCCAGCGTCAGGCGGCGCAGGATTGAGGCGAATATGCCCAAAAATTGCTGATTTTTGAAAAAGTGCACTGCCCACTGGGTGCTCCTTGACAATGCTCGTTTCGCTTGGCACTTCCTCGCTAGGATTAGACCTCGAGCTTCATGAAGAATGCAAACGCTCCTAGGAGCTCCCGTTTCTTTACACAGACGCCCCCTTTGTAAACTGCCCGTACACGGAGGTGTACTATGTGCCCGGTACTCCATAGACAGCTGGCGTTGCCTGCGCTTGGATATCTGCTAAGACCCTGTCCCCTTTCCGTCTTGGTGTGGACTATCTGTATGATCCGTATGTGTATGGCCCCACGGAATCGCTCTCGAGGGTACGGACCACCCTGTATGATGAAGACGAGCGCAATCCTCGGCTCTGGTGATATCCGCCGATATAATCTTGAGGTGAGCATGACGTTTTGAAAAACATCTATGGCGTGCGGGTGACGTACAATCGGTCTATACCAGACCATGCGTTTCGAGAGAGACGATCCTGTCCCAATCTTGCCTCGTCGCCATGGAAAGTGTATGTGAAGCACGGATGAGATTGTCCTCCTCTGCAGCATATCTGGGAAGCGAAGAGACCAAGTTGAAACGGAATGGAGAGCCGTCCTCGCCAACCACCATTGGCTGGCTAAGGCGGATACTGTTTCCAGCTATGTCATACATATGTATGAAGAGAATTGGTGCCAATGCGTACTCAGAGCGAATCAACGAGAAGTAGCGTCGAGCGAGCCATCAACAGAGCGTGACTTCAGAGGTTGGCGCCAAATGGACAAAATCCCGATGGCATGTGTTTGGCCCGGAAGGTCCGTAAGAAACGAGATATACGCGCAAGAAGGATTGCCTCCCAGGGACAGGGTTCAGAGCGAACCAAACTCGTACGAGTGAGAGATGATGAATGTTGTGATGGTGGGGAAAGGGCCTGGAACGGACAGACGAGAGCGCGTCAAGGGACGGGGAGGATTTGCTTGCTCCATCTCATCTTCTTGTACCACAGGACGACCCTGAGCGATACTACAGAAGTACCATAACATGGGCAAGAGTCTGCGGAGTAACCAGTGGCCCGGATGGAGTCAACGGGCCTGTAGCGGAACGGCGAAGAACCCTGCATCCGACAGGACCCATTTGCCAGTGTCCGCATGCATGGCGGTCGTGGGAATGAGGGGACAGAAGAGGAGCGAGGCACCAATGCAAGAAGACAGAGCCACTACTCTCGTTCGACCTGTCCCTCTTTCATCCAGGCTTGGGCCAGGGATCTATGCGGAAAGGGACCTGCAGCCGCCGCCTGAATCCTGAACGACGGACCGATCGTCTCTTGTTCCTGAGCAATCACGGCCCGCACAGTCGAGCGTTCTATCGGCCCAGAGAGCGGAGTTGTTGGATCCTGCGGTTCTGTAGCCAATGGCAGCTCTTGACATCGCTGAGCCGCGTTATTCCGGGGAAAGGGTTGATGTGGGAGGGCAAGTGGCCACCGCTCGGACTCTTCAAGTGAGGAGAGCCATTTGACAGGAGTCTTGGCCCTGTCTCGTGGGACTTTCATGGAGGACTGGCCGTGAGCTCACAGAATCTCCTGGTGGGCTGCAGATTTGTCTTGTGTGCGAGGTATAACGCTTCGAATAGACAAGTGCTGCCAGATTTACAGCAACTGAGTGGGTTCAGGAAGCTTTGTGAGGGGAATGTGAGATTGATGGCAAGCCGCCGGCCATGACGTGTCCAGCTACCTCTCAAGAAGGCAGAACGATGACTTCGCAGGCGTGGTCGCGAGCATGAGTGCGGACACTCGTGAGCAAGACAGTTTGCAAATGCCACGCTGCAGGGGCACGGAGTGACGCAGTCAAGGCGTATAATCCAATAGTACGGCCGAATAAAAGTTTGGTTATGCCGCGGAATCCGTTCAGGTCGTTGAAGAGATGCAAGATCGACTTGTTGGTGGATGCCGGTTATCTCGCACGTTAACGCCTTGCGGCGGATCACCATACAACGCACCGTTGATTCCCCATGTATGGCCTCATCAAGAACCTTGAGCCATCAGGCTACCAGGCCATATCGGCCGGACGTAGAATGGAAGCGCAAGAAACGGGAAACTGAGCAGGCGAGCGGGGAGGCATTGCGCCCCCCCTCTTAGCAAGAGAAGAACCAGCGAAGACAGGGCCCAACAGCCCGGTAGCGCCCAGTTTGCATCACATCAGAACCATGGGGATTAATTACGGGGTCACACAGCAGTTCGACGATCAAATATGGTAAGCCAGCTGCCGCTCTTTGACGTGTCTTCTCGTCGTTGGCCATGTCGCGGCTAATGAAAGTTGTCTCGTAGACGCGGATGAAGCTGTGAGGGTGCGGTGAGAATCTTCGAGTTATAACAGAAAAGGCAATCCCAGTTGCGGCAGTGGCCCCAAAGCTGGCGCTTAGATGTGAACAACACCAACGATCAGCAAGCGTGAGCATCCGCAGTCAAGATAGCCGCCGGTTATGCCACCAGAGTGAAGACGGCGCTCGAGAGCGGAAGACTTCCATACATGCGCACGGCGATAACGTGAAAAGGGCGGCAAAAGCGGGAGCTCTGGGCGAAAGAGAGTAAGGGACACGAGAAGCAAAATGCGCCTGGCAAGGAAATTGCTCGTTGGCCGCTCTGTAGTGTTCCATGTCTCGGACCAACGATATCGAATTCCACGCAGACGTGGAACGGGAGGGGGCAAGGTCAACTGGCAGGAACCAAACGGTTCTTCTTGTGGTCAACTTGCCCACGTCGGCGAGAAGGATGTCAACAGGGGCATTTCTCAAACGGCGCCATGTAAGGCTGCGAGATGGCTCAACGCAAGGCTGTCTCGTCGATGGTTTCGCAGTAGGTCTCCGGGTGCGGCGAAGCAGACCAAGGCCGTTACCAAGGACCAAAGGGGCACGTCATTGTATTGTGCAGCGGTACGCCCGGCCATGGACGTTTGCGTAGCGGAAATGCGAAAGAAAAGCGCCGCAGAAATGCGAAATGAGACGCAGAGAGCAATCGCGGAGGCTGCAAGCCAGCAGCAAGAGCAAGTGCACTGAACGCGGCACAGAGCACCGCCCAATAGCAGTCAGCAAAGGTGTCGCAGAGCAGGCGGAAATCATAACAGAAAGCGGCGTTGGTCGACAGCCAGGATCCGTCTGGGAATAGTGAGGGTGTGGATGGTTGTGTGTTGGCCTTGCAGCGAGCGATGTCTGCAGTTGTTGCAGTTGCAGTGCAGGCTCGCTTACGGCGCTGTCGGTACCCAATAGCAGGCCGTTTCACAGCGGGTAGACGCGCGCGTAGGCGCTCTGCTTCGGGACTAGCGCGCAAGTCCGGAGAGGTCGCCCATTGGCCGCGCAGGGGCTCTGCGGGCAGTCGCAGGGATGCCTGGCTAGTGGAGGGGGCGTGCGCTGTCTCTGGCCAATGTTAGGCGAACTAAGCCCTGCTAGCGCGTCCCGACGGCTCGGATCGCACTATGTTAGTGCGCATTAGCGTAATGGGGCGGTACGCCATCAGATGAGTGGCCAGGCGCGGGGCCGAACTCTCTTGCTTCGTCCGCCTGAGCCAGCAGTGCGAGAGGGAGAGAGGAGAGAGGAAAAAAAATCCAGAGGAGCTGCCGTTCAGCCCAGGTTGACCTCCCCGTACCCGGCTCCCCAGTCGGGCCATTCTCGTCCATTGGCTGGGCCTTCACTCTCGGCACCTTTTCTCCCTATTGAGGGCTCTGCGTCGTCATTCCACTTCGGGCTTCTCCCTCCGCGAGTACCACGTCGTGCTTCGTACTCCTACCACTCAAATGTGTGCAGATAAGAGTATGAGAGACAGTGTGGCGCCATCGCCCGCCCACTGCCGTCAGTCGACGGTCATCTACCCAACTGCATGATGGCTCTCCACACTGTAATGTGCCGTAATTGGGGATTGCGGTGCCGCTACCTGGAATCACAGAACTGTGCGTGCAGAGTACATAGAGAGATTTCCAGTGTTGGCGCGGTCGCGGTCGGCAGTGCTATTGGAGCCATGTCTGCTGTCGGCGAGCCAAACTCTACAGCGGGCGATGAAGAGATGGGCCTGCCTGCGCAAACCGCACATCCCACGTTGAGGCTTGACCGACAGGCTCAGGCACCTTTCTCGGCCACTGCCACACACAGGAACAGCTGCGTCTCGGACGAAGTCCGCGTGGTTCCCTGTACAGACTACCCTGTCGTGGCCTAGAACCAAAAGTCCATGACTCCGCCGCGCGAGGTATGAGAATGATACCGTACGGTCCCGACAGCGTGGAAATTGAGGCAGGGCACACTGCGTTGATGTCACTCTGGACGGGGGTCATCGGACAGACTGGGCGGATGCCACCTTTGACTTGTCGAGCAAACTGTGCATGGGCCACGACGAGCAGTATCAGACGGACGTGTTCCTCTCCAGGTTCAAGCTTGCGGCCGGTTGGTCATGTCCCTCGCGCCTAGGCACCGAGCTTGATTCGGTCCATAGTTGCAGGCTTAGCGTCCTCGGAGGGCGGTTCGAAGCAAACGATGCCTGCTCGGATCGCCGCACTGTCCTCAGCCGGATTTGATAAGATTTGGCCAAATCAAGGGCTGAATGAGGCTGAAAGGCGGCGATATCCAAAACCCGGTCGATTGCTAGAGGACGTAATACTGAGCTCCCATGAGAAAGGTAGACAGACAATGGAGATGAGGAGAGGGCGTTGACGATGAAACTAAAGTCACAGTATGCTCGGGCTTTCCATCGCTGCTGAAGACTGGCTGGTGTTCCCCACGAGCTCTGCCTCAGGAACACGGCAACGGTGCTGCGCCAGAGGCGTCAAGCCTAGATTCTGCGAGCTGTGCGCATGAGCACGGAGCGTCTCGTGGCAAGCTTCCGCCGCGCTAACTTGGCTTGGCACCTATTGAATACACAATTGCCCAACCTAGCAGGCCATTGAATAATGTGATGCGGTTGATTGAATGTCAAATGAGTGAGTGAAGACAGGTTTTAGCATTCCCTTGGCTAACAGCCACGATCCTAGGAGGTCCATTCGATCAGCATCAGCATCAAAGCACTCTCACGCCCCCTTTCAGGGGTATCCAGTTGACAGATATTGACTGACTCTCATTTTACAGTTTGTTTCGGGGCGAACCCACTGATCGGAGCCAGGCGGGGAAGCAGCTTCGATGGGCGCACGTATGAGAATCGTAGGCGGCAGATCAGATAGTACCCAGATCTGGCCGCTACATTGCCTGGGACCTACAAGGCATGCTGGGTAGGTAGACAGGTAGGCACAATCCCAAGGCTCGTATCGTAAAGGTCAACATAGTATGACGCCTCCTCCCCAAGCGTACACAGCCGTCGTTCGCGACGAGTATTAGCTAGCTTCGACGATCGTCTGCCCTTGTGTGGGTCGATGACGGGTACGTTGCCCGGAGAACACAGTCGGGGAGAAAATCGCCCATGGCCATCGACTCTATGCTGGCCCCTTTGCCCACGAAGGTTTAGCAAGTCCGTAGCGTAATAGGGTCTTCTGAGAGGTCGAAAGTTGCTGCGGTCGAACATGAATGCTGGCGGCACTGCGGAGGAGATGCCGGCTCGGGGAAACACTCGTAGACAAGGGCATAGAGCACGCTGGGAAGCGAACTGCTTGCATGGCTCAGTACAGTATAGCCTTCATGTGGGATGTATTTTTTCGCCTTGGCGCCATGAATCTGACAGTTTCAAATTCGTCAGAGAAGTTCTGCAGGCGCAGCGCCGTGGGCCTGGAAAATAAAAAAGACTAACACGTCGACTGTCGACTCCATGGGAGCATTTGGGCCGCGGGTTGGGCCGCACTGTGGACGATTGCGATGGCAGTGCTGTGATGGTGTTTCTGGGTCAAGGCAGACAGGGAGAGGCTTTTGCGCACCTTGACCACTCACCTGCCTGCTGCATCTTCACATACGTACAGTATCGTACCTTCCTTGAGAGCTAGAACTACTACTAGGTAGGTAGGCACCTGCAGTATGTGAGGTACGCAGCGGCTGCACTTGCCCCAGCTCTGGCGACATTGGTGCGGAGTCTGGAGCAAGGCAACTGCCCTTACCGCAGTAGGTATCTACCAAGCACTCCGCACAGAAAGGCAAGTGCCCATGCTCCTGCCGTCGAGATGAGTCGTGGAATGAATGGGCAGCCCATCGAGTTCAGTTTGTCCACTTATGAGGTATCGGTTCGCATGGGGTACATCTTCCGGGGCTACTGCTCGCCATCATGTCCACCTCCCACAAGGTACTGCTAGTAGTAGTACTGGACTTTTGAGCACGTCGACTTGCCTCGGCCCATTTACTCAAACCCTACCTTACCTGTACGGAGCGACCACTCAGAAAATGGGCAATTGCGTCCTGCCCACGCTAGCCCCGTTCAGGCCGGCAGCGGCACTTCAGCCAAAACAGCCCCAGAGCGAGCAGCGGCCTCTGATTTGCGACTTGCACTTCTCCACCACGCGGCGGATCCTGCTCTCGGCCGCTCCAGGCTATTGAGGCTCCCTCACTATGCCATTTGATCTCCATCTGTCACATTCGAGGCGGCGGGCTAGCAGAGCGCTGGCTAGTACGATCTCGGCAATCGCTGTGCCTCTCCATTTGCTCTCTGGCATTGGCTCTGCTGTGCGTCTGAGGTATGCCCTACAGGTTGGAAAGTACTGCGTACTTGCTGGGTGTCTCCTCTTCCGCGGCTTGAATATGTAGCCGCTACGGAGAGCTAGCAGATGCATGCCGCCATCCTGTCGCCTTTCGTGGCGGCTGCCTCTGGCCTTGAACACGATTCCCACCTGTCCTTCATTTCAGATCTCGTTTGCTGTACTGTTGACTCCAGATCACGGCCAAGATGGCAGAGAGATTAGATTGTTCCGTTTCGCTTCCAAGGCGGCTGCGGGGAGTCCGCGTTTCGAAGCAGCAGGAAACAGCGACTTCACAATGGATGGCACCATGGTTCCGTGTACGTCTGAGGCTCTGCGGAGTATTGGGGAAATACGAACCTGGCAATGAGTCGAAGCCGAGGTCTGGCGAGCGTCCTCCCACACCCAGCGCGCTTCAACTCAGCTCCTGCAGGGACCATTCATAGCGGACGCACTTCGAGCCGTTAGAAGTCTCATCTCTATCCAGATCCTTCGGGGGCTCATCGAATACGTCAGTGGCAATCTTGGAGCGATCAGCTCGTCCAACATGCCTATTCCTGGCCTTTTATACCGCTACAGAATGCTTCTACTCTTTGACAAATAGGTACTGCTCTCATCATCCCCTCTTCTCATCTTATGTGGTCCGTTAGCATCGGATCCGCAAGTTTCCGTGTCCTAACCGTTGTGACTTGAAGGCGTTGCGACCTGAAATTGGCGGCAACAAGTCGCCGTCGTGAGGCCAGAAGAGGGCAAATTAAGCCCGATATTGGGGCAAAACGGCATATTGGCAATCACTCGCAGTCGCCCGTGCTCGCTCATCATCGTCTAAGGAGATGGGCAATCAGATCTCTGATCCTCTTTGCCTAGTGTCCCCGCCGCTATTGATTGTTCTCTACGTTGATCTTCTCGGAACCGGCTGCTTATTACCTTCCTATTGTCATGTGTCCACCGTACACGCTTGAGTTGATCCTCGTCGGACTTGGACCAGAGGCACGCCATGCCTATCGACCACCATTGACAGATTCGTGGAGCCTCCATGAGCACGTCCACACGCCCCGGCTGGGTCGAGTCTACGCCCCTACCGTTTCTCCAACAAAGGCCCATCTCCAGTTCTTGCACGCCTCGGCGGCTATCTCATGCACGACAGTGCCTGCCACTGTATGTACATTCAAGGATGACCAGCCCTGTCTGTGGCTGACCGGGGTCCCTAGCTCGACCAGGGGGTTCGGGGAGTGCAAGCAGCGTCGTATGGCCTCGACTAGGATCGAGAGACACCCTGGTCGCACACACTAGGCCACGTCGGGGTGTTCGTACTTTGATTTCCGTGCTCTGTCGAGTTACGGGTCCTGCGACCTTGGAGAGCTCACCCGGCTGTTGATCTGAGCCTCCATTTATACAAAGAGTCTTGCCATCTCCTTCTGCTTCCGTTCCTGCTCGCAAGGCTTTCTTCCTCATCTGCCGTTTCTGCACCTCTCTTGGCCCCCATTCTCCCCGCTAGATCATCTCCAACTTTATCGTTATACCTTTGACCAACCACGGCCGCGGCCAAGGTAGGCAGAATCTTCAGACACTTTGGCGGCTCATCTGCCATTCATTGCAAGCCGTCCGCCGCTCCACCAAACCTCGCTGAACCTGCCCGCCTTCCAATTGCCCGCTCTCAACTACATAAACGTGTCGCTTTACGGGCTTCGAACCGACGATTTTGTCTTCTTTGAAACCGTCAACTCCCTTTTCCCCCTCTTGGAACTCTTTATACACCTTCAGCTTACGTGGTACAACATTGGCTTGCCATACAAACCAGCAGCCAACGTCCTCAATCCCCGTCACTCTATTGCTGAGCCATCGCAGACCGCGCAGCAACTGACTATCTGCCTCCGCCACCACTATCCGACAAAACATATTATTCCTTGGCTGTTTGACTTGATCAACACCCAAGGAGCCCTACCCAAATTGCCGCCTGCATGAACATGGTAGAGCAACAACAGTATATTGCTGCAGGTCTACCACACACAGGTGACCTGGCAGGATCCCACGGCTTATCTGAGGCCAGATCCATAGCTCCTGCAGGCACTTCAGCCTATCCAGAAGTGGCTCCCTTTTCAGCAGTAAGTTATCAATGCGCATCCTTTCCCCTTGCAAGCAGCCTAGAAGACAAAAACCCCACGCCCTGTATTCTCCCAGGAAGAACTTGTCCCGCCATTTCTCGTTTCGTACGCATTGGTTTCCAGGCTCACAATTCAATTTTGCTCCCAGGTATCTTCTTTCAACATTCCCGCGACGTGCGACTCTAACCTTCTCACTCCCGTCTCTACCACCAACTCTCCCCCCCTCCACCAGATCCGCAAGCTGGCACCGCAATATCCTCCTCCCCCGAGCACCCCCTATACCCAGGTCCCGACCCCTCCGGGCAGCTCCAAGATGTATCACCAACCGTGGAACAGCCAATTTGACATGCACGCACAGAGCGCGCAGAACCCCCCGCCTATGAACAACCAAGTGTCGGTGGCATCGGACTTCTACATGGCTCCTGATGACCGCCGCAGCACGCCCAACCCCCCGACGGAGCCGTACTACGGGTCTTTTAGCGTGTCTGAAGGCCCAGACACGCATTCTATGCATCATCAAGGGCCGCAGTCCTTCTATGTGCCGCTCGAGATGGGAAACCAGACCTCCAATATGATGATGCGCGACTCCCGTCACCTGCCCATGGAACTGCACCCCCGTGACATGGACCGCACTCACGCACCGTCCCTGCTAGCGCAGTCGCACTTCAACAATGTTCGACGGGCCAGCACAGATGACCGCAGTTACAGCAGCCGTGCCGATACCCTTCGCCGCTCGTCTAGCGGCTCGCCCCGTCGGCGCTCCATCGCTCAGGGTAGCGCCCGCGTAAAGAAATCGAGATCGTCCAAGCGGCAAGGGGCCTCCTTTCGAAGCCAGCAGCAGGTCGACCCTGGCGACGAACACAAGAACTGTTTCGGCCAAGAGGCCCCTCCTCTCATCAAGAAGAACTGCCCCGAGGAAGAGCGGTGCATCTTCGAGTCTCGATGGCGACACCGCCACCAGCGCGGGCAGGACATGTGGGACAGTATCCAGGGCGACTTCGAAAGGAGGTTTAACAAGAGGCATGGCAAAGAAATGCTCCAGATGAAATTCAAACGGGGCCGAGCCAAGTACTACGAGTGGCCCGAGGAGGATGTAAGTAGATGCACCTTGCCGGCTCTGTCATACACTTGTTACCTTTGAATTATGGGCAATGCTAACCACTTCTTCTCATCAACCAGGTCAACATCCTGCGAGCCGCTTTCAAGAAAACGGAGAGGGAGAGATATCAAACCATACTGAACAACTTCCTCGAGATGGGAGGCTCCCGCAACATGCTGCTGAGCCCCAGCGACATTGAGATCAAGATTGTCAACGATCTCAAGTGGGAGGAACCCATCTATATCGAAGCCATGGAGGAATGCATCCGCCGCCGCCGCAAGACTATTGTCAAGAAGCGGTCGACCGGTCGAGGAGAACCCGGCGGCGACGTTGCCGTGAGCGACGACATGCTACGAATTTCCCAGACGCCTCACAATGAAGACGACGTGATCAACCAGGTATTTACCGCTCGACGAGAGCCGTCACGAGAGCAACGCTGGGACGAGGACATGACGTCTGTCAACGGTGAAATGATGGATTCCCACCTATGGGAGAATCGGGCGCCGATGAAGATGGAATCCGAGGCCCTTGTGCCCTCAGGAGGCGAGCACATGGCACGGATACACAGCGGCGCAAATCAGCACCCCATCGGCAACCACTGCCTTCGGCCGGCGCCATCAGCGTACCACCCAATGCCCAAGGCACCATGATGCAGGACTTGCATAGATTGCATCGGAGATGGCGCTCACGCTAGCCATTAGGGACGACATCCGCATGGGACGGAAGAGGGTGGCACTTTGGTCAAGTCAAAGCGGAAGGTTTTGGGACGGGAATACCCAGCACATTCCCTTTGTTTGGTTTCGAAATTTAGAATGATTCCATCTTCTCGACGAAGACTTTACTCACTCCTTTTAGAATTTTGTGCGCTACTCTTACAGAGCTCTGCTACTTGTCTTGCTGTTTCAATACCTTTCTTATTTGATGTTTTTCTATCTTGTCTTATTTGTCTACTTTCTTCTTCATATCAATGATGGCGAATTACCTAGTGATCAAGGGACGGGAAGTTGAGGGCTTGGGACGACTACAAGGTGGATGGATATACCTGGATACATCCTGTCTGATTAGAGGAGACTTTATGCTGCCATGCCTACGAGGAATGACCAGAGAATCAAAGAAGAAGACGATGATAGATTATCAGCAAACTAATACACTCCGGACTGGTTGTGTCTGTAACACATTGGTTGCTCTTGTTGATATAAGGTGGTTGTACAGAGATAGATACAAGCAGTCCAGGCCGGCATGGCCAGGTAGGGCTCCGAGGACAGAGGGTCAAAGTCTCGTAGCAGATTGCTGAACGGAGCAGAAGAACTCACAGCAGCTGGACATGGCGAGTAGTTACTGGCGAGCTGCCTACTGATGTGTATAGCTCTGGTACCTCGAGATTCTGGAGCAAAGGTAGGTAGGTAAGGTAACTCACTTAGGGACGTGACAAATCCACGGGTGTCAAGAGCCGCCCCCCCTGCCCTGAGCCCATTCCAGCACCTGTTCGAGAAAACAGCATGACATGGCAGGGCTTCGATCCTAACAGTATGAGCTAATGCACCAGATGACTACGGTACTATCACACTCGATCCACGGACGTGTTGTTGCCGCCCAGGCATCGTAGGTCTATTTTGGCATTTTCCATTCTGCCTAGGTATGTCTCAAAAATGGACTCGGAAATAAATCAAAAAAAAATATACAGCATTGAAAGACGAAAGACGGCGGGAAAGAGGAAAAGCAGAAAAGTCGGGGGTGCGGGCGAACAGGGCTTGCATGGAGAAATCGATTTTACAGGGCCGCAGAAAAAAGAAAAATTCAAAAAAAGTGAGATGGCAAGGCATCATCCATTCAAGGCGTCGAGACAGGCGCCGAAGCGGATACCGCAAACACGCAACAAGGTGGTCAGGCTGGCATGGGCCCATGCCAGTTGCAGGCATCGGCCATCCAGTGCGCGACGAGCCCACACCTCCGTTTCCAGTCTGTCGGGTAGACGCTTTGCTTGTTGTAGAAGAGGCTGCATCACGAAATCCTTGCAGAGGGGGGCGCAAGAGGAAGGGGGTAGGAGGGGGGAGGGGGGGAGGAGGGAGGAAGAGTAGGTGAGGGTATCGCAAGGTCAGGCATGGTATGTGTGGTATCTACGCAGGACGACGAGATGTAAGGGGATGGACGGAAAGGGAGGGGCTGAGAGTTTGTATTAGTAAGATCAAATGGAAAAATATAGTAACAAGGTAGGAGGGTAAAAGACCGGAGAAAGCTTCTTTCCTCTTGGTTTGATGTCTTGCTGTCATTGGTGTCCGTGTCTGCTGAACTGAACCTGTGGCATGGATTGCTTGGCCTTGGGATGGAGCTTTTCCTCCTCACTGACACACTCCCGAGCCTTGTCACAGCTGCACAGTACCTGCTAGTGCAGGCGCGCACGCCCGGTCTGCACACCGTGCCGGCGCAGCTGCGGCCACGCACGGAGTACTTTGCACATTCAGACATGCGCCTGCGCCTGCCCACCTCAGCGCCCAGCCAAACACAACCTTGGACCCCCCATGCCACCTTCCCCTCTACCCGTTTGCACAGTACCCAGACTGTGGACTCCTCCGGCCGCGGCACTCACTCGTACATCCGTGGCTTCCCCTGGTCGCCTTGCCGTTGCCTTTTTCCTCCTCTCCCACCGTCCTCGTACTGTACGCGCTGCTCATCGATGCTACGTTGACTGGTAGGCGGAGAAGCTCTTTTCTCTCTTGTTTGCCCTTGTTCGGGCCCATTGACATTGGCACCAGAGCTTGGCTTCTGCAGCTGGCGAGCTGGACGGCGGTATGTTGTGCTGCTCTTTGCCCGTTTCTGCTTCGTGGACGAATGGCGCTGGCAGGATGGCGGGCTGTTATAGTGAGCGAGCATGTTCACTCTTCTACCTTACCTGCTGTGTCAATCAACCTGCTCATCCGGATACAACAGCTGGCACTGGAGGAACCAACAAGATGGCCCGGGGGAAAGCATCGTTGCCATGCGCTCACTGTTCCGTTCAGCTCTTTGATTACCACCAGTCGAGGCGAGATGGCCTGCCACAAAGGGCGTGGTCAGCACATGGCTGGCCTGGAATCGCATCGCTTAGGAGCCCAGTACGATCGCTGTAGCTCTGGCAATGGAATGGGAGCCCCCCCTGGAGCTGTCCGGGGGTGCCAGAGCTCTCAGGAACGGCTGGGGCTGAGGCCCGGGCTCGAGAACCATGATCGGTACGGATATAGATGCGCTAAGCGGGAGGAATCACCCTTCGTTGCCCAAACCGGGGAGCCGGGGCGACAAAGGGACAAAGGCGCCCCTGGCTCATCTCTCTCAGTGACTTGCCATCACATTGCTTGACGAGATACGAAGCACGAAGCTCTGCTCTTTGCTGACCTTGGCCTCGCCCATCCTGCAAGCCGTCGACTCAGTTGCTGGCTCGCGACAACATGGGCTCGGCAATATGCAGAGATAAGGTGTCAGATGTGCCCACAATGCTGAGCCAGCCGGCGGAGGTGCGCTTCGGGGCCGCCTGATGTGCCCATCGATCCCGCTCGCTAGAACGACAGCCCCGATCTGCCCACGCTCCGCAGGTTTATAGCCGCTGCAAGACGGGTGTCATGGACGATCCAGTGTCGCGACTTTGAGTGTCACTTCTCTTTATTCGCATTGCTGATTCGACACCGTCTCCCTTTACCGCTGGCGTTGCTCTCACTCTCAGTCTCACCCTCTCTCTCTCTTTCATTCTGCCTGCTTTTTGCCTGTATTTCTCGCGGGTTTCGCGGAAGGGCGCAGCCGCACTGTACGGAACACCCATGCCTTGTCCACCGCCCCTCCGTCCCGACAGTCTGGAAAATGACGCGGTGGGAAGTGGATTTGCAATTTGGAGGTCCATGAAGAGGCAGCAGCTTGCGAGAGCGATTGGAGGATGGGCTTGACGGAGAGCAAGGGGGCTGCCCTGCTCCCTCGTTTTCCTCGTCTTTCCTCCCCCCTTGCCTCTCTCTTCTCTTCCCTTACCCGCTCGGCAGCGAGCAAAACCAGGGAGATCAAAGAGCTCGGTTGAGAGGACAGGACGGCGGCATTACGCATTCGGCGAGCCATGGCACCTCGGTTGGCGGCCGTGCGCTTCGCTCCTGTTAACGGCGCGCCCCGGCCGGTCGATCGACGGGGTAGCAATGCGGAGCCCGTGTCATCCTGGACGGAGTCGTGCCTCAAAAGACCGAAAATGGCCCCAGGCGGCGCTCCATCAGGACCAAAGGCGGTCCAAGAATGATGCAAGCATCTCCCGCTACTGCTGCTGTTGCCTACATTGCCACAGCTTGCTACGTGGCAAACGAACAAACCGGTTCTCTGTTGTGCTGCTTCTCGAATCTCGCACAAGCCCCGTGATGAAGACTGAAGATGGCGGGCGGGCTGCCGCATGACAACCGTCTAGGCTGGTGGTGCGTGCGACACACATGACTTGCTGTCGTATACTCGGACCCTGCTGCTCTTTGCGCTTGATCTGGCCTAGAAGCGGGACAGGGCAGATAATACCAAATGCCACGTCGGATGAACGCAGGGGAGCGCGTACTACCACCGAAAGTGCTAACTGCACAGGGCTTTGCCCACAGGGCCATCGGGGGAAACGACAGAGCCGCAGACAGGAGCAGCTTGCAGTTGTGGGTGGCATCTATCTGGATCTCGCCCCCCGCTGTGCCGCTGCTGTTCGGGAGTTGATTAGTAGAAGGGTCGGGTGTGGGTGGCTCCAAGTAGCAACGAGGTGCCGATGCTGGTGCCATGTGCGCTGAGAGCTGCGTATACATAGCAGATGGGGGAACGGATGTCGACTTCCAGATGTCTCGTCTCTCCAGGGCCGCAAAAGCTCAACTAACATGGGAGATGGCTATATTCAGAGCCGCAATTCGATTTCAAAGCATCTGCAACGCGGCCGTTATTCTAGCCGGGCTCGGCAACAGTCCGCCTCGCAAGCGACGTCTGCTGGGGGGATGAGGCTTACCGTTTGTTCAGATCGTCTGCCTTATCGAGGCCAATGACTGATGCGGATGACGTCCCCGGTGGGAGCTGGTTGCCGCAACTGGCAATTCTCGGAGTGAACGTTTCACAGAGCAAGGATGACGGGCCATTGCAGCGCTGTCGAATCGATGGCAATGGTAAAAAAACGGCGGTTTATTCCCAGGCCTGAGTCTTCACCAAGCTTAGCCTGCTACTTCGTCCCGGTAAGCCAGCAGCCAAATTGGTTCTATATCCGGGCCTGCTACGGATCTGCCACTCCTGTTGTGCTAGCATGGATGGGCCTGGTAGTACGAAGTAGCAAGTTGAGGGGGTGACCGGGTATTCGTGCCTCGACGATGCTAACTTGCATGCCGTGTCCAGCATGTTGCGCGTGCCTGAGATGATGCAACAATGCTGACTCTGGAGCGATATGGAGCAGTACGAGTGACAGGAGGAGTCTGGTTTAGCGGCCGAGAGTATTCTTTTGCGACTCCATGAAACTCCTCTTGAGGGTTGTGAGCATTGGCGCTACAGAATGACAGTATCAAGGAAGGTTTGCGTTTTTGTCAGCCCGCGGCAGGTCAAGGTAAGCTCTATTGACACAAATAAGCTGCATGAACCTCGACCCCTGCCACCTTACCACGCTAGAAAGACTATAGACTGACCTAGAATTTGTGTCACC